CCTGACACACAGCCACACCCACCCACCTGCCCCCAACCCGTGTTCCTTTCATTCTCTGCAGTGTGATTGTAAAGCTCAGCCCAAACTGGAAGGTGCTGCTGGGTTCATTACCTTACTTTTCAAACCATCCCTAGCCCCTCTGTCTTGGTTGTTTGCCTTTGCACAATGCAGAGAACACTCTGTCATGTTCCACAGACATTCTCAGCTTTACCTCCACAGACTCCGGCTGAGAGCTGTGCCCAGTAGGCACTGGAGACACTGTGGAGTTGTTTGTTCTGAGAAACCCTTGTGCAGCCAGTCCCACAGTAAATAGCCCTTCCGGGTACTGAGTCTTGGGAGAGGCCTGTGGGGGCATCACGTTCACCCTGGTGTGCTTGGCTTTGTTTGCATTCTAATAGAAACTTTCAGAAAGAGAAAACAGGTTTGTTTATCTGCCAGGAGATAAAATAGGGAGGTGTGGGTGTCCTGCCTGTCTCTTTGTGATCACCGGGTGCTGCTCCCTCCTTCCATTCTTTTAAAGGCAGCCCCTGTGGAGAAGGGGTTAGGGTTAGGGTTTAGGGTTTAGGGTTTAGGGTTAGGGTTAGGGTTAGGGAAACCCTTGCCCTCCTATCTATCCTGGGGCAGCAGTGGTAACTTCCTGAAGTTTGGGGAATGGAGGGAACCCAGGGAACAAGAAGGGTGCTGGGAGCAGTGTCAGGCAACAGCCATCCACACCTCAACCAAGAGGAAAATGAAAGCTTTATCAAAATGAACGAACTCTTCCAAAGGCAGGTAGGGAGCAGGGGACTTGCTTGCCACTTGCTGGCTTGCTCGCAGGGTGGCAAAGTCCTTTGCTCTCTGCTCTGTTCAGCCATTGCGGTTAGATTATTCCTCACAGATAGCAATCAACTGGAAGGAAGTGTGTGTGTCTAATTTGCATGAGATTATTTAAAACAACAACAACAAAAAGGTCTGCATTAGTCAGGGTGATGGTAAACAGCGCAGAGAGATGCCTTTTATAATATAGCCTGTGCCTTGGCTCTCAGAGCCAAATATAATTCACTTACAATTGGCAGTTTCCTTTATTATTCCTTTTAACCTTTTGGATTCTGCAAGGTCTCAATCAAAGATCTGCATTGTTTATCTTGCAGGGTGAGTAGGAAAGCTGGGGCTAGGGCATCTGGATGTTTATGCATGGGTCCTGTGGCAACAGCTCAGCACCAAAGTAGGGTCATCTCTGTGCCATGAGCCAGTGGCTGGGTAGATAGCCGGTCTTGATTCAGGGGGAAGTGAGTGGCCTCTACTGGGTCTTCCTGCACCCCAGGTGGACCACCTGGCTCTGTAAATATAGTCCTGAAACTGGCAGTGCTGCCTCAGCTGTGGATACCCAGAGAGGCACATGCATGCCCTGTTTGTCACTTTGGAGTTGTTAAAATGTTGTCTAGTTATCCTTTGCAAATCTGACCGGGGTGTCTATAGCCCATGTTTTTATACCCCATGAACTAGTTACTGGCGTTTACCTACAGATGGGGTCCAGGGTGGCAGGGGAGAAAGGAATCCAATCCTTCTCTAAACCTTGACAGACTCAAGACTGAAGTTCTGAGTCTGTCATCCGACATTTGTAACTCTGATTGTCACCTGCATCACTGTTCTGGGGGACAAGTTTGATCTGGGCAGTCCTCACCCCTACCTCACTCAGGCTTTTCATCTGCTGAGTGGGGGCAATGGCTGAGCTAATTCTCCAACTCTAAAGTTAGGCTCTTTTTTCCCCTCTTCCTTCCTTCCTTCCTTCCTTCCTTCCTTCCTTCCTTCCTTCCTTCCTTCAAGAAAAATGACTCAGTTATTGAAACTAAATCAAAACCCTGACTCTCCAGGAGAACTAGGTATCTAAGAATTTCAGCCAGTGTAAATTTAGAGCATCAGATGACAAGGTCTCAGAGAAGCAAGAGTTGGAAGGAAGTGCTGATGCCATTTAAACCATCGCCTCACTGTGGGCTCGGCCGAGGTAATGCAAGGTGTGTTTTATTAGGAAAACAGGCTTCGTAAAAGCTCAGGGCCAGAGGGCAGAACAATGGGCAGAAAGTCCTGTTCCTTTAACCAGCTCCAGCTCCCAAGGCTGAGGCACAGCCTGTAACTTGCTGTATATTTCCCCAGCGTTAAACATTATCGTACTTGTTTATATTTGAAAGAGCCAAAAGGGAAGATGAGAGTGCAACCGAATGCTCCTTTTGGGAAAATTATCCTCATTTGCAGCAGCAGCTGACAGGGCACATGCTCCTCCAGGGTTATAGAATTCCGTGGTGTGCCAGCGACCAGCAGCCTATGCTGACGTGGCCGATGCTGCTTCCTTCCTTCTTCCAGCCGTGCAGAGGAGCGCCCCTTACTATTTAGGAAGAGCAGTTGGCAGGTGCAAGAGCCCAAGAGGCACAAGCTCTAGGGAACTGTGTCCTGCAGTCTTGCCTGGCTTGTCTGTCTGTCCTATCCTTGTTCTGGGGAGGAGAAATGATAGGAAAAGCAACATTTGTGGCCAGCTGTGTCTGTAAGAAGTGGGGCGCCTTCTCCAGCCCCAGTCTAGATGAGCGCTGCCCACGGTACCCTAGACTGACAGCGGTAGTGCTTGCTTGCTTGCTTCCTGTTAGCTTCTATGTATGTAAAGAGGGAAATTGCTGCTGCAGCACAAAAGGAGGAAGGTCAAGGGCCATTTTTGAATAGGTGAGGCACTCCCTTGACCATTTGCAGTAGGGCATGAAAAGTCTGAGGGATGGCTGGAGTCCACTCAGGCCAACAGGATGCAGGGCAAGGCTGCGCTCCAAAGCATTAATGTGCACCATGTATTAGCCCCCAGGCACACAGTGGAGGCACCGCAGCATTGCCTCGTGCTTCATCCACCCCTAGGGGCAAGTATACCATGCTGTGGGGCTCTAATGGAGAGCCGCTGACCAGATGTGGAAAAGCTCTCGGCTCTGGTTTAAAAGCTCTGTGTTGTGTTGCAGCTCCACTGGATATTGGGATCCCGGAACAGCCTGGACTAGCTTGCGTTGTCACACTAGGGGTGACCTCTCACCGTTTTCCCAGCCGCGGTGGTGGATCTCTTTTGTACACACCATTATTTCCTGCGTGGGCTCTGTGGGAATCTTGTCACACACTGGGGCTCTCCACTTCACTCCTAGTGTTCTGTGCACATCCTTCACCAGCAGTCAGTCAGCCTCGGGCCCACCAAGGATTAGGGTTTTGGTGGGCTTTCACTTGCCTTCCATTCCTTCTTGGGAAAATCCTTTCCACATGCCATAGCCACTGCAGATGGCGCCCTGCGATCTCTTCCTGCCCCGTGTGTATTGTAGTTTAGAGTGTCGGGGGATTAAAGAAAGGGGGAAGAGAAACTAGCCAAAGGCGGTCCAGGCAGCCCGTGATGGGGTAGAGCAATAACCATCTGAAAGTGTGGGCCTGGTCTTGTTTTGATCTGTTTTCTTGTTTTATTTTCTTCTTTACATTCTATATCCCATTCATACTAATCACAGTCAGTCCTGATTTTTCTTTTTATTTCTGCATTTGTCATAAAATAAAGCAAATTATTCCCGTCTTCGGAAACGATCTAGACTAATTAGTCGTCTCACCCAATAATTAGTTTTTTGTTTCCCTGTCTGTTTTCATGCATTATTGTTAGTTTTTTCCCCTCTTTTTTTAACACCATTACAGATTAAAATGAGTCACATTTGCAGTTGATGGTATCTGTTTTCGGGGGAAGAATGGAGAATTGCAGTATGGAGCGACTTCAAAAGCAGCAATAAACTCAAGGATAAATTAAGGAAATTGAATGAGCCACATTTGGAAGCAGTGTGGAGGCTAATATTCTGTCGCTTAAGGTTAAATTGCAACTGAGAGAGGTTCCCAAGAATCCAAAATCAAGGAGGCAGCGTGCTTGAATGCAAGGCGCTCTGTGGCCGTCAGGGCTTCCTTGCAAAGGCAGACTTTGCTGCAGTGTGGGTGCTGGCGACATCCTCACCTGTGTCCTTTGCTCTTCTCCCCAGGGCTGACGGACGATGAGATTGACCTGGCTTTCCAGCAGTCGGGCACTGCTACAGAAGAGCCTCCATCCTTGGGCCTGGCTACGCCAGTGGCTCCTGTCCAGACCCCCCACCTCATCGCACAGCCATGCAGTAAGTCACCCGATCCACGGCTTGCTGAACTGGGGCTGGGACTCAGGACACTGGCAAAGAGCAAGGCTCCACAGCTTCCACCAAAGCAAAATGGGAGAACTTGGCTTCTCTAGCAATGAAAAAGTGGCACACTTAAATTTGTCTAGGGCCAGTGTAAGCATGTGCCAAAGTTTGCAGGGGACAAGGAGCCAGCCACTGGTGTTGTTTTAGGCTCTCCAGTCACAAAAATGATCAGTTCTGCCTCCTTACCCCAGTGGTTCTCAGTGGTGGCCTAACACAAGCATGGGAGTTGTAAGTGGCTTCTCCTTTGCCCATGGAAGTAATTGTCTCCTAATTTTGTTTTTTTTTTTACACTTAATATTAATAGATTTAGGTCAGCCTTTGCTCCCTTGTCCTGACTCCACTGAGCAGATTCATACAGTGACAGATTCTCAGGGAATTTCAGATTAAGTACAAAGGTCCTTTAATGATGGCATGGAACCCTGGTGGAGGGGAGTTTGTTGTTTTAAATGGAGGTTGCCATAGTAACAGATACAGGGCTGTGTATTCATCCAAACAAGAACATCACCTCTTCTGTAAGTCACGTGGAGAAATCTAAAAAAGTTACAATTATCTTCAAAGCTATAAGAAACAGCCTAGGTTTGTTTCTTTTAAGTAACTCAGCATAGGTTCTATTGTCTTTCAAGTCTTTTCTAAAATTGTCATTTTAATTGTCTAGAAGTCTTACTTTTTCCAAAAAGTGATTTAAAAAAGAGTTCAAGAACAGATTTTAAAGGGTGTATTAAAAAAAATGGCAGGTTCAGCCAGGCAATGGTGGTACACACCTTTAATCCCTACATTTGGGAAGCAGAGGCAGGCAGATCTCTGTAAGTTTGAGGCCAGCCTGGTCTGCATGCAGAGTGAGTTCTAGAACAGCCAGGCCTGTTACACAGAGAAACCCTGTCTCCAAAAGCAAAAACATTAAAATTAAAAAGAAAAAAAAATACAGTGCCAGGCTCATTTTGATTCGGAGCACAGGAACTCCTGCCCTCTTCCTTCTCCCCTTATGAGCACTTTTGCCTGGCTTGCCTGCAGCTGGGAGGTGCTCTCTCCCCAGCAGACAGGACAGCAGGGTGTCCTCTCCTGTAGTCAGGTGTGGTGACAGGTAGAGAGTGCATCACAGATTGCATTTAGAGTCCTTTGCTTTCTGGGCAATGCTAAGGGGCAAAGCCAGTTTACATATACCCATGTGTCTTGTCCCTTTGTGCCTGGCCTGAGCCACTGAGTAGCATGAAGACTCATTTCTCTTTCCCAGCCGAAATCCTCTCAATCTATTGTGTAGGCTTCGGACTCTAAGCATACTATTTAACCAAAGGCTAAGTAAGTGTCCACACTTTCTGAGTTGTGTCCCCGAGCCCAGCCGTTTAATGGGATTTGTTGAGGATAGGCAGTGGCAGCTGGGTGCAGAATTGTCTAAGCACATCTGTTGTGTTCCAGCTGTTTCCTCCCACAGCTTAATACCAAAGAGGTCTCTCTGCTACTTGAAAACTTCCTGCTCAGAACAAATTGTTCTGCTTGGTCACAGAGTTGGCATCAAACATCATATACTTGCCTGCCTTCTGGAAGCGCAAAGGGTTAACTATTAGTTTTTCTGGCCTGCCCCAGCGGTTGAGTCTGCAGTCTCCTTCAAGATTGCAGGCTTAGACTCTGTTAGTCTCCTGGTCCTAACAATAACACATCTTTTTAGAGACAGGCTTCCTCCCACTTTGACACTGGCGTGGAAACAATGGTAGTGATACTTTTTAATACTGGAGTTTTCAGTTGTCACCATTGAGCTTCATTCTTTGCATACTGCTCCATTACTCCTTTCAGCTCCAGGGTGACTTTGCTCTTCACTTCTGTACTTTTGCCAAGAGGTGTCAAAAAACTGCTCAAAAAAAAAAAGAAAAGAAAAGAAAAAAGGAAAAAAAAAAAGCTTGATTTTGATTAATATAGAGAAACAAGACTTTGCCTGACTGATAATAAAACTGATAAATGACATTTGAATTACTTGTAGTGGTAATTTATTACATAAAATATCTTTTATTTGACATACGATTAGTTGCTGGAAGCATCACTCAATCTGACGAGTTTAAACATGCTCTAAAATGAACCCCAGTAAAAACCAGGGCTGTCGGCTGCTGGCGTTATGAAATATACTAATCCTGGAGTGAGGAAAAAATCTGACTTTAAATATTTAAATGATTAATTGGGTTTATATATTTTTTTACCTCTCTAACCCCCTTAATTACAAGCAAACTCAGGGGAGTTTCTGAACTAGGTGCGCAATCTGCATGCTTATCGCCCAGGCATTGTCTGTGCCTGGGATGGATTTATGGCCTCTGTTCATGTGTGCTCTTGCTGATTCTGTGCCTAGATCCACAACAGCCCTTTCCTTCCCATTGCTCAGCTGTTTAAGAACATTTCATCTTTGAACCCAAGTCTAGAAAACGGGGTTCCCTCGGCACAGTCCCAAACGCTCTCGTGTCAGGGTTTGGGTCTCTTTGAGACTACTTGTAGACCTGGCACGTGCTGCCCTTTATCTCCCAGCCTGGCCTGGTGACTGGGCTGCCGGTGCCTCATTTGCCATCTCTGCTTTCTGGTGAGTGTATTTGACCTTGAAGTGTTAGTGGATGCCACCAATGAAGAGAACACGGGGAGAACATGTTCAGTTCAGTGTGTAAGCACCTGCTAGATGCTCAACTCTGTGTTATGTGGGAGCTCCAGAGCATGATCTTTTGGAATCTTCAGGCTCTTAAGAAAAAGAGAATAGTATCAGATATTGTGACTTAATGCCAAAATTAATTATACCGACAAAAAATTCTGTAAGATTACAGAAAAGAGAAAAATTAATGTGGGCTAAGGAAGTCAGGAGGCTTTGTGAAAGTGGCAGGAGATGACACCCAGAGAAGCCTGGTGTCATCTAGTGTGAGAATAAACCAGTGTTCTGAGGGCTTCAGAAAAAGTCAGGCAGAGCTCAAGGAAAACCAGGCTAGGATGGGTGGAGAAGCCTGATACTCAGTGCCTCCTCTTGGTTACCTTGTTTGACTTTGCATCAAGCCTCCCTGTGGCATTCACAAGCCCTGTGGATAGGTTCTGGGTCCTGCTCCATCCCCAGCTCAGTCATTTGTGCTGAGCTGTCTTGTTTCCACCCAGAGAGATAAGCACCAAGGGGTACTTTGGTATAAGCAGGGCCTGTGTAAATTTTGTGGGGCGGTGCTGGGCTCCAGCATTGGCCCTCGTCTTTGATGGGCAGCGGAACCCTTAGAGGCTGGCCTGAGCTTTAGTTGCCTAGGGGTGGCAGAGAGCTTTGTCATTGGGTTAGAAGTCCTGAGAGTTCTTCTCAGTTTGCTTCTGTTACAGCCCTATTTAGTAACATATGCTTACCCCGATTATCTTAACTCATTGAGCAAACACTCATTATCGAGTAACTCCCAGGTACTAGGTACTGTGCTAGACCCCTGGGACAAAAGGTCATTAACAAGATCTGTTAGTTTTCCATTGCTAAGACTTGAGAGAGTCAACTTAGAAAGAGAAAAAGGTTATTTTTGGCATACAGTTCCAGTCTGTGATTGGTTGACCTGGTGGTTTGGACTCTGGTTATGGGTGACAATGGCAGAGAGCATATGGCAAAGAGAAACTGTTGGTGTCATGGCCAGAGATGAAAGGAAAGAGAGGTTCTGGGGTTTACATCAGTCACCCCACAGCGGCCGAAGATCTCTCTTGGACGTTCTCCCTACCTCCTGAGAGCACTGGGGGATGAGAGCTCCAAACCGCAGCACAAGTCTGACCACTGTCTGCAGTTGCCCTCGTCTAGTGGAAAGGATGGTTAAGCCAGCATGTCAGTGCCTGGGGGCCAGACCAGGGAGGAGGCCGGTGCCGAAGAGGAGAAGGGGCGCTCCTGAGAGCAAGAGCTTCAGTGACCCTGTGGGTGATGGGTTCAGTGTTCTGACAGGGTGGACAAGAGCGCAAAGACAGAAAACTGCATGATGACCTTAAGGATCTCTGGTTGATCCAAGAAGCTAGGGGGAGGGGAAAAAAGACAGCTAAGCCGTCACACTGACAGGAGAACCGGCAACATGTGATAGCCGGTCGTCTCTGAAGTTGTGTTGTCTGTTTGAAGAGATTGTCCTGAGACGAATGTGAGAGTTGGACGGGTAGGGGTGTGCCTGTCTGAGCTGCTCTTGCCCTCCTCGTCCTCTTTGTCCAGCAACGTACTTTTCTTCCCCAAGGTTGGGGTTCGCTGTCCACACATCTTTGCAGTGCTTCATTCTGACCCGATGGAGGTGTCCTGTGCCTCTCGCAACCCCCTGCTCCCCATCACACTGTACTTATGTTTGCTTTAGTGGCTTTTCTGTAAATCTGTGAGTCCTGAGGCTTTTAAAAAACTCACATAGCATCTCCATTCTTGTTATCGTGTATTCTTCCCCTGACTCACACTTTCTGCTCCCTCATGTCCTCAGCATCCCTCTTCTCCCCTTCTCATTCTCCTAGCTCCCTCCCCCCTCTTCCCATGCTCCAAATTTGCTCAGTAGATCTTGAACCTCTCCCCTTCTCCAGGAGACCATGTATGTCTCCCTTAGGGTCCTCCTTGTTTATTAGCTTCTTTGGCAGTGTGGATTGTAGGCTGGTAATCCTTACTCTATGTCTTAAATCCACATATGAGTGAGTACATATCATCATGTTTGTCTTTTTGTGATTGGGTTACCTCACTCAGAATGGTTTCTTCTAGATCCATCC